ATACTGTTGTGATCTGTAAAATCAATAAGGACATTGAATAGCAATATTCCCTAGTGCATTAAAACACAATTCGATTTGCAAAAATTTGATTTATACACTTTCCAATGATGTATCTTTTATATAAAGCAAGTTCCAATTCAGAGACTTTTCTCTCCAAAAGATCCAATCACAAGGCTACATTTTTCCAGGCTGAGATGGGGTGAGGAGATGGGGCTCTGGGCTGGCTTCTGCAGACTAGTTTCCTGGGTGCAATCCACCGCGACCACTGGCAGCCGCTCTGGGAGCTTGTCCCACACAGGGGCCATGGGACTTGGTGCTCATAGCTGCCAGTTGTCACTGGGGCTTTGATCTCAGTAAAGAAAAGCTCCCGGGTCATTCCTAGTACCCCCGTCTCTTGTGTTCAGTCGGGAGAGTGCCATCAGCTGACGGGACTGCAGCCTGTCTACACAGCAGCCAGCACCATCCCTTTAAGTCTGGGTTGGATAGCATCCCTCCTGGGCTTAAAACCCTCCAGTGGCTCTCCTCTCACTCCGGGTCAAAAGTCAAGGTCCTTTCCATGACCCTTAACTTGGACAACAATATTATAAAGTATCCAGACTTGGACACTTTGAGAGTAAAAGGGGACTCCAGAGTCACACGGGGTTCCAGCATAAATGGGACAATGCAGAATGTGAGAGGTCCCTAAGACCTGGTCCCGTCCACACTGCACCCAGTTCCCTACTCTCCGCCCTCCTCACATTCCCTTAGCTTCCTTACCCTTCTCGTCACAAGCAGCCAGGAACCTACTCCTGGGCCTTTGCACGTGCTGTTCCCCCTCCCTGTAAGGCTGTTCCTCCACCCCCTCTTCCAGACACCCACGAGGCTCACACTCAGCTCCTGCACATCCCTGGTCAAATATCTCCCCCTTAGAGAGAGGTCTTGTGACCTCCCCGAGGACCCGCCACCATCACTGGCATCCCCTCACCCTGCACTTCCCTTTGCAGCACTCGCAGCAGCTGAAACACTGAGACCCTTTTGTCCGTTCACTGGTCTCCCCACTAGAGAGGGGGCCCCAGGAAGTAGAGGACTCTGTGTAATCACCACTGAACCCCTGCCCCCAGCCCAGTGCAGGGTATACAACAGGTGCTCAATAAGCGTTCATCAAAGATTGGATGAATTCAGGTGGGGAGAGCCTTAGCACACCAACCTTGGGCCAGACCCTGTCCCCAGGTCTTCTCACGGGACCTCCCTCTACCAACCAGGATACGAATCACCCCCTCGCTTTAGGACGGGGAAGCTCAGTTGCTTGGTTCGGTGTTTGCAGACCGGTGCCGAGCAGGTGTCACGTGTCAGCTCCCGGAAGGACAAAGGGCCTTACGATATCAGCAACGTCATTTTGCAGAAGAGAAAACTGTCCTGGGGAGGCCAGAGTCCGCCTCCTACGGCCGGTCGGCAGAGCCGGGACCATCTCAGGCCCCACGTGCCGACGTCGGCCCAGTGCTCCTGGTCCAAGTCCCAACAGACGCCACATGGACCTTGCCAATAATCAGAAAGCCCTCCCCACCTCCCCAAACCCGAGGGCAGGCCCCGGAGGATCTTGCAGGTGTAAGGAGGGGTGTCGGAGTGAGACAGATGCACATTTTCGGAAGGTAAACTTCGTGTTAAAGGTAATGAAGGATGGGGGCAGCCCTGGGGACAGAGAACGCTGCAGCGTGGCTTAGGTTCCGCAGGGACAAGACAAACGACGGGGGAGTGCAACGTACGGGCAGATTTACATATGAGAGGAGTAATTATAAATCTTTGTTATAAATCTCCGCAGCTAATGGGAAGCGACATGGACCCAGCACATGAATCAAGAATGCCGAGATGACATCTATTAGGGAACCGTTGTTTCCGACACTGTCATGGGGATTTTTGTTGCCTTCACTTTGGGGCCTTTAATTAACAGACCAGCCCCATGGCTGGGCTTGTTTGTGTGAAGGGCTTGGAGCGTGGGGGTGGGGGAGGAGCGATCCCACGCCGAGGGCTCATAATGACTGTCATGATCATTATGACAAGACTTTCCTCACCGGTGATGGTGTACGGCGTTGTCGTGGAAACCGCGTGCTTATTAGTAACATGCTCTTTTAAGGTTACCAGGACGTCGGCATCCCTTAACCAGTGCCTGCTCTGTGCTCGCTACACAGTGGCCTTTGTGGCGTGGACAAAGAAGCCGTGCTCCGCAAAGCCCATGTTATTTTTATCCCCATTCTAACCCCAGCTTGGTCCACAGCCTCACAGATAGCTCATTAAACCGATCTCCTTGAGCCCTCCGGGTGCTAGAAATGCTCTATATTGTGATCCGAGCGGTGGCCACACAGCTGCATGCAGATGTTAGACTCCATTGAGCTGCGCACTTAAGACAAGTACACTTTAGAGCATGAATGTTACAGCTACAAAATATTTTTTTTAATTTCACCCTTTTCTTACCACCAGCATAATTCTGTCCCTTTCACAGGTGTGTGCCTCCCTCCAGTGACATTGAGAACACCATAAGCAGAGGCACTGCCTTTTAAGAGGGGCAGCACAGTGTATCACACACTTCCTCCACATCAAGCACACTTTGTGTTACTGAATATCTTACTGAATCCAGGGAAGTCTGTGTCAGTGTTTTCCTCCCCACTTGACAGACTGGAAACTGAGGCTCAGTGAAGTGCAGTGGTTTGCCCAGAGTGCCCAGGGAAGCAGCATCTGCACCCACTTCCCTGTGACCCCTGCCGTACTCTTTCCTCCCTGTGCAGACAGGCTTCCGTGACCATGTGAAATAGGTCCAGAAAAGGGAGTCTAGAACAACAGCATTCTATAATCCATGACATATGGGGAAAATTTGTTTAAAAAGGAGTGTTTCTCATTTAAAATAAAAGAGAAGAAGAAAACATTTAGAAAGAATTCACAAAATGGTAGTGAGAGACTGATGTGTCTTATCCCAAACATGTTATTGTCTATCTTACTCAGTCCTTTTAAAAATTACTTGCCCAACTGAAAAGCTGAGAGATGTCATATGCAAACCCAGATATCTGCAGTCTCTTGAAAATCAGAAGGTCTCACTACTCCCCAGAGTAGTGTGTCTCACTCTCCCCGTAGTGTGTACTCTGCATTTGCCGCAGTCCCCTCCAGCTCCCTTCACTCGCTGCGGGGGTGGCCTGTGTTTGGAGGTCTGGCATTCATTCACTTGCCTACTGGGTCCCATGCTCCAGCTTTCCTCTAAAGAGCCATTCCCTTCCTTCCCCACTACTTCGAGTGGGGTCGAATCCATGCCTGGCTCCATGAAGTCCATATGGTCCAGTCCTGAGCAATCAGAACATCACATCCAACCACAATGACTGGCATGAGCTCAGGATGGGACATATGACCCAATCAGGGCCACTGAGATGCCACTTTGATTGGGATTGCAGTAAAAATAGCATGTTAAGCTTGAACCTGCATGGTATAGACTGGAGCATCTGTCAAGCATCTTGAAAGTACATGGAACTTAGAATGAACCCAACACAGAGGAGGAAAGAGCCTAGCGAGGGAGAAGTCCTGATGTCTGTATCGAGCCCTTTGATCAAGCTCTTCCTGAAGCCAAATATCCCAGGATTTGTTATTTTTGTGAGCCAAAAATTACCTGGTTTTTTGTTTATTTGTTTACCCCATTTGAGACAGTCAGGATCCATTTGTTTTCAAGCGACAGAAAATTCTTCCCAAGAGCAGCTCCCAGACCAGCAGCAACAGGATTAGGACCCAATGGGTAAAAATAACAAAACCTAACATAAAGATGGAACTTTCCAACACTGAATTGTTGGAGACTGGGAATATCTTGTCAATAAAAGTATTCAAGCAGATTAAAGTTTGTTCCCAATGTGTCAATTTTGGCCCAGGGTAGGTGGTTGGACGAGATGAACCCAAACCTTAGGTTCCTTCCATCTTGGTGGTCCTACAGATATCAAGAATGAAATATTCCTCAGAGAGGATTTCCTAAATACCCTAGAGAGACTTCTCCCTTACTGTTGCTATCCTTTATATCCCAATTCTTTTCTTCATGACAATTACTACAATTTTTTACTAGATTTACATTTTTGTTTACTTTTTATTTCTCTCTCTTCCACTAGAGTATACATTCCATAAGAGCAGAGACCCTGTCCATTTTATTTTTCTGAACTTCTAGCACCTAGCAAAAGGCTACCATGCACAGTAGGCATTCAATTAATGGTTTGTTGAATGAATGAGAGAATGAAAGAGACCTCCCTGGCCCTGTGTTTTCTATGAAGTCACTCAGAAAGCCAGCGTCCCCATGGAACCCATGAGGCCTGTAGCCACCGAGTCTCGCTCACATTCGTTGCCTTTAAAGGCATCTCGTCTACACCATTTGGGGAAGGCTGTCCTTTTGGTAATGGATGTTACGCCGCCCAGTGGCTACAGTGTTCTTCATCTGCAGCACACTCACCCTTGTCTGGGAACCTCTCTACTCCTGGCCGGGTCACCCAGCATGGAAACAACAGCCTCTGGCAGCCACGTGGCGAGCAAATTCTCTCTGCAGCACCTCTCCCCACTCTCCGCATTGTGTTGCCGAATGCTTGAGCTTCGCAGCTGTCCCCAAGGCATCGTAGGAAAGGAAACCCCCATTTACTGAGCGCCTACCACGTACTGGGATCTTTGCACATATGAGCTCATCTCATCCTCACAGCAACCCTACAAAGTTGGCACTATTAGTCTTTATTTTATGGAAGAAGGAACTAAGGCTCAGAGAGGTCAAATGGCTTATCCAAGGTCACACACACCCAGTTTTCAAATTTTAGGTGGCAGCACTCTAAAGTTTTTACTCTGTTATCCCACACTTGGTTTTCTAACCTGAATATATGTACATGTATGTGTGTGTGTGTGTATGTATGTGATGTATTAATATACGTGTGTGTATTTTTGTTCATTCCCCTCTTCTGCAAATGGTCTTTTGCTCTCTGGGGACTGAGGCACGCGTGCACACTCACACACACACCAAGTCATCAGCATCTTTCTTTTATTTATTGTACTGGAGGAGCAGGAAATTACACAGGCCTATTAAGGACTAAGCAAATTCCAAGTGAATTGCATAAATGGGATTTTTTTTAGAAGCACACAAAATAACTTTATAACAATCTATACATTTCAGAGCATCATGAGAGACCTGGGGACCGCACAGGAAGAGGTGCGCTCAGTAGCATCTGATACAAATTATCCAAACTCTAGTCTATCCAGCCTCATCTCCTAGACCCACAAACTAAAACATGGTGTCTGGGGATGAATGAGCAAGAGAGAGATGGAAAGAGAGAGTACTTTGATAGAAACTAAGGCATCAGGAGGTCTCTGCTTCTGCTTCTGGGTTATTTGAATCAAGGGAACTCATTTGGCCTCAAGCACTTAATCATTTCATTCCTCTTTCTGGTTTTATTTTGAGACATTAAGAGGAAAGAATCATCATGGGGTCGAACAGGGCCTTTTTCTCTTTCTAGCTGTTGCTTTTGGATTCCCTTACCCAATGCCCAATGCATATGTCAGGCCAGATGGCTTGGACTCTTGGCAGCCAATTCAGCTGCTCAAGAACATGGTTGCGCTTAACTTCATCCACTTGACACTGCTTCAGTTCATCGTGGGGTAGAAGTGTGATACCAATCCATTTAATTAGCTTAATGAGGGCTGAGGGAACTGGTCCACATTTTGAGTTTGTTGCACAGAACAAATTGGTTTGCCTCACTCCATCCCTGATCATTTAAGCATACAGAAGGAGAACAGGCTCTCAGCCATTTCCGAAAGAAATTTCACTCCCTTCTTCCTCTGTGAAGAGTTGGGCGCTGTCCATGGTACCAATATGACCAGGAGATCAGAAACTTGGTTCTTTAAGGTGCGTGATGAGAACTCAAAGTACGCCAGTTGAACATTTAACCCCCTAGAAGACTGAACTCTCTGGTATAAGAATTTTTGTTCTAATAAAAGGTGGTTTTTAAGCTTTTTACCTAAAGGGAGGTCTCCAAAGTAGAGTGCACAGGAGATCCTTGAGGGTTGGGAATAAAATGTTAGAATTTCCATTTATGTTTATCTATCTTGTTTTAAATTTCTACTCTTCATATGTTGTATATGCATGGAGAAATGCTAATTTTTCTTCTGATAGGGCATGTGATCAGTTAAGTTTGGAGATCATAAATCTACAGGCATAAAAAACAAGTCACTCTAAACTCAAAGAATGGGGGGAGGTCACATGATCCGGGTGGAGGGATGTTATCACAAGCTGCTGGTGGTAGTTTTAGAGTCTAGGGGTCTGAGCTGAGCACTGAGCCTATTGGAGAGGACCTCCACCCTTCCTGTTGCTGACCCCAGACAAATGCTGCACTCCCAGGCAGAGAGAGGTAGGCGGGGCTTGGATACTGTGCAGGCAATGCTGAACTGAGTGTGGGGACGGGGCACACACAGGAGGGTGGATGAGTGCGCTCCAATGTGGAAGGGGATCAGGAGAAGCCCCTGACTCAACTCCATGATGGGGAGGTATTTATGCATCAAAAAGCTCTTCAGAGTAAGCATTGGGGTCTTCCTGAGACCGAGTCGCCACTTTGAACTGGCGCCGGAGAAAGCCACCATAGCGCTTCTGGTTGTCCCACTTGAGCTTGGGACGGATGCGCCGTAAGAAGCCCCCGTAGCGTTTGTACAGGTCCTCGTGGCCCACCCTATCCCCATCCCCATCCCCCTCCCCAGCCACCTCTGAGCTCCTCTTGGGATATTTGCGCAAAAAGCCCCCGTAACGTTTGACCTGCTCCTTGGGGTCCTCCTCGTCAAAACTGAGTGCGCCAGCCTCCACGGCGCCATCACTCAGCGGGGCATCCCCCACCAGCTCAGATCCCGCTCCCCCCCCAAAGCCGCCAGAGAGGCCCCTGAGCTTCTCCTCCAGGCTCTTGCTCAGAGCATTCTCCTTTGTCGGGGTCCTGGGGAGGAACTGGCCTTTCTCAAGCTCCTTCAGGAAGGGGCCAGAGAGCTTGGCCAGCTCACCATAGGGCCCTTCCAAAGCCGCCTTGCTCCCCAGGTTTTCCTCGCCATTGAGCCCAAGGGTGGAGGGAGTGAACAAAGACAGAAGTCCCTGGCATCTCTCCCACTCCTCAGAGGGCAGCAGGGTGGCCTGGCATTCCAAGGAGCAAATCTGCAAAAGACCCAAAAAGACCACAGTGGCAATGTCACCCCCATCGAATCATCAAAACACATACCCTGCCCTGCCCAGGGTCCCCTCTCCAGGAGCTGAGAAAAATCACACTGAGCTGCCACTGCCTAGCACTGGGCCACCCATGTTCATGCCCCTAGTGGCGCATTAAGGGAGGGGACTTTGTGCCTGGTCTGAAAGGTGAGAAAGTAGACCTGGAGAGCTGTCCCAAGGACACGCAGCTACAGGTGGCAATGCCAAAACTGGAAGTAAGATCTTCCCATCCTGCTCTGTGTGATCGTCCTTCCCTTCCACTCTGACTCCCAGAGGGAGTTGTCAGTGCTCCCAACGTTGCCCAGGTGTGAGGGATGCTGCTAACGCTTCGTAGAGGGGACAGAGGATGCAGGATGACAGAAAGAACATGGGTGAGGGGACATATGGGGTTCCTCAAGCTTGGGGGTGGGGGAGGACAATGGTCCCCACTTCATAGGGCTTTTGGGAGCATTCGATCATCATGATGGTGACACCAGAGGACAATCCTGGAACTTGAATCCAGGAGTCTAATGCCATGGTCCCCGTGCTGAAGCACAGTGCTGTCCGAGATCATGCGCGGGCTGCACCTGGCGCACTGCGTGCTTCTCAACGAATGGGGCCTAGAATCGTCTATTCGGTACTTTCTGTCATTATCTCATCGAGTCACCCCCACCTTGCAGATGAGGAAACTGAGGCTCAGAGAGAAGGTTCCAGAGTCATGGAGCTAGAAAAGGGCAGAACCGAGGCCTGTGTTCTGCGCGCCACACCCTCGTCCAGACTTTCTGCTGTCACAGGACAGGACGTGTGGGAACCTGACTCAAAGCCAAGCGTGCAAGGCGGGGCCAAGAGAAGCTAAGACCCAGGAGCGGGGTCATGCTCTGATCCTGTCACCATATCCCGGGCTTTAGGGTTGGTGGGGACAGCTCTTCCCATGGGAGTGACCGGATTTGGAGGTGCCCATCAGCCCACTGGTGAGAGGCCCTGAAAGTTCATCCACAGCTGTGGACTGCCGAGGTCAGCGTCACCTCATGAACGACACTCCCTGTTGCCAGGCGTCATGCCCCCTGGAACCCTGAGTCTCCGACCTGGCCTGAGTGAACCCTGGTGGTGAGGTCTGGGGTGGGGACGGGAGCTGGAAAACAGCAGCCCCCGGTGCCCAGGCCTCCCACAGTGCAGGACAATCCCTGACAGGAGGGACAAGCCTGCGGGACAGGTGCACAGCTGCCCAGGCCTGCGACCGCCCTCTCTGGGCTCCACACACAGACGGTCCCTTCCTTGCTCGGGCCCCAGACCTGGGCCTCAAGGACCCTTGCCCGAAACCTACCAGGGGGTTGATGGGCTTGGGCCCGTCCTGGGTCTTCACAGCACACAGGGAGCACGGGGCCAGGCAGTCCGCCGCGGCGCAGGGCAGCACGAGGAGGCAAGCAGCCAGCACCAGCGCCCACCAGGCCATCCCGTCTCAGCTCTTCCTGCGGGGAAGGAGAAAGAGACGGTAACGAAATCTGTGATCAGCCTCTATGGGGTGTGTCCTGAGCCCACAAAGTCACCTCTTTAACTCCACCGGCAGCGCTGCCACATAATCATTTTCATTCCCATTGTACAGTCGAGAAAACAGAGGCTCAGAGAGGTGAAGTGGGTGCCCAAGGCCCAGGGTGAAAGAAGGCAACTAACCAGCGCTGCGTGCCTGCACCTGCCGTGTGTGAGGAGCTTCCTACATGTTCACGCTCAATCTGCTGCTCAACAACTCTTCAAGGCGAGCTGTGCTGTTTTCATTGGACAGATGGGGAAGTTACGGCTCAGAGAGGGCAAGCGACGGCACACAGCTAGGAAGTGCACAAGCCAGGACTTCACCTGGATCTCAGACTTCGAAACCCACTTCGACCACCCACCAGGCCAGAGGATACTTGGTTATGCTTTTCTGGGTTCTCTGAGGTTCTCTGGTCCCTGCCCCGCAGGCTGTCCCCAGGCCAGTCCTTTGTAAGGTGTCTGGAGTTTACCTTTCCCTGGCCACAGCTCCACCTTCACCCCCTGCTTCCTGCTGGCCTCCCTGCCTCCAGTCCCTCCTCTGCTCCCTCCCGCCCACCCTGAAATGCCCTTCTTGGCAATAGCAATTCTGTCATCAGACCCTTCAGGCAGGGTCAGGCCTGGTCCTTCTGCCTAAATGTCAGGACACTCTCAGTTCTATCTCGACACTCCAGCCCTTCAGCTCTGGGCTCCAACCACAGCCAGCTACTTGCAATTCCCTTAATGAACATCTCGGGCTCTGTCCTGCCTCTGGGCCTTTGCACATGCTGTTCCCTCTGCCTGGAGAACCTCTTCCCCTCCTCTTCTGTTACCTGTCACGTAAGTCCTAGATTAGATATCAGCTCCTCCAGGCAGCTTCCCCTGATCTCCTGGGCTGGATGAGAAGCTTCTCCTTTCTAGTCTCCCTGTCCACTACTTAGTAATTGGCTGTGTGAGTCTTCAGACTTTGGTTCCATGAAGGCAAGAGCTGTGTCTTGTCTTTTTCTGTGTAGTACTTTCTCTGTTCCTCAAATATACCATGCTTGCCCCTACCTCAGGGCCTTTGCACTTTCTGTTCTTCCACCTGCAGTACGTTGACCCCAGACTTTCACGTTACTCACTCCTTGTTAGTAAATGAATTAAATGTGACATTGGCAGAGAGGCATTTGCTGACCCCTGTGCTTGATGTGGCTTCCTCGGTCTCCCTTTCAGATCACCCTCTGTTCTTTCATCTGCACACTCTCCAGCGCAGGCTCTCCTATGTATTTGATGTTTGTTGTTGTGGGTTATCATCTCCCCACTAAAGGCCCTCCTCAGGGGCACCAGACCCTTCCTGTCTTATTCCCTGGCTGAATCCTAGCACCTAACACCCTGGCTAGCTCTTGGCAGGTCCTCAATAAATCCTTGGCAGATGAATTAATGCTTCAAAAATAGTCTGTTAAAAGTTATCCCTTTCATAGTCAACTCTTCATAAATCAAACATCAATGCTCAAAGTCAAATAGGGGGAGGCAGCGGCCGCAGCATAGTTCTCCCAGCTGGAAGCGCAGAGCCCCTGGCTGGGCTGGGGGCTCCATGCTAGGCCCAGCCTGGTCTTTGCAACCTGATGCCACCAATCTATTCCCAGAGGTGGCGGCCCTCTTTCCTGCACACTGCTCTGTCTGCTCAGGTGTTGAGGTTTAAATGATTCCACCCCATTGGTGCCAGAGCCCCCAGAGTGGGGTCTCCCCCCCTCAAAGCAGGTGGTAGGCTCCCCACTGGAGCAAGCTTAATAATGACCCTGGTTACCACGGATTGAGCCCCTTATGCCCAAGTCCCTAATCCATCACCTCCTTTATTCCATATTAGTGAGCTGGGCACTTCTGACTCAATGAAAGGCCATGTCCAGCCTCAAATAGTAAAGCTGGGGCGTGAGACCTGTTCTCTTTGACCCCCTGCACTTAATGACTACAATGTCCAGAGTAACTTTGATTCACTCACAGCCGAACCCTCTGTGAGAACCAAGGGGCTTTATGCACAGGGCTCTTGGCTTGTGCACTGTACTCAATCCACCTGCACGCTGTAGGAGCTTCATTAGCTCTCTCTACAGATGAGAAAACTGGCGCTCAGAGAGGCATAGTAAACCTCCCGAGGTCACACAGCCATTAAAAGTGAGAGCTCAGGCCCTTGTGCCTGTCTTGAGGCTGGGCGGGGTCTGCTCCCCTGAACGGACGGCGCAGAATGGCAAAGTCGAGGAAGTGGCCTTGTGTCCGCCCTGTGTCTCTCTCCTGCTGTCGCCTTTCTCTCCTGCTTCCTCAGCTGCTGAGTGGATTAAGGTTCCCAGCCAGCGAGCTGTGCAAAGCACACAGCTCATGTTTCCTCTGATATCAGCAGCGGTTGGGCTGGCCTGTTATAAGATTAGCAGCGAATTAACCCACTGGAGGGGGGTCGCCTACACCACCCTCTGACTCCTGGCTAAAGGCTTCCCACACAGCTTGGCTGCTAAGGTAGGGAGCCCAGTGCTCGATCTCTTTGTCCCAGGCAAAAATAGTGCAGGCATCCTCTCCTTTCATCCATTACCCTTCTATTTCATGATGACACCAGTTGATCTGCTGGTGGTTAAGTACCCATGAGCCATCCTTATGGACTAACTCCTTCATACTCACGCAACTCCAGGGCGTAAGTACTGTCATCAGACCCACCTTATGGACGAAGAAACATAGTTAAGTCATCTGCCAAGAGTCAAGAACTCGTAAGTGACAACGCTGGGATTTGTACCCGGCAGTCTGGCTCCAGATCCCGCCTTCTTAGCCACTGCGTACGGCCCAGGCCCCTTTGGTTCCCCCACCCCCAGCCTCCAGCTTCTCCTTCCAGGTGTCTGTGTCAACCTCCGCCTGCTTCTGGAGTGGCCCCCAATCTTGCCTTCCTGGACACCCCCCACACTGCAGCGGGAGGACGCGTCTGAAATGCAAATCTGACTGCACCTCCGCCCTGTGTCCAGCTGCGGGACTCTCCGTTGCCTTCCACAGGAAACCTGTCCCCTTCGCCTGGCATGCAAGGGCATTCCTAATACGGACAGCTGACATTTGCTAGGTGCCCTCTGTGTGCCAGGCCCTGTGCTCAGTCCTGTATGTGACTTAATCTAAGGGGGTTCCCACGACAACCCTATAAGGCTGAGAATAATATTGTCCCCATTCTACAGATGAGGGAAGGAGGCACAGAGACGTGACATAATCTGTCCAAGGCATCTCAGCAAGCACACAGCACTCAGACAGAGGGTGCGTTCTGCCTGACCTGGGCTTGACCAAGCCACCAGCAATTCCAAAACAAATGCCCTATGCCCCCATCTCTGAAGCCTTTGCACACAGGGTTCCCTCTGCCTGGAATGCCACCCATCCATGCCCAGTGCCCTTTGACCTGGCCAACTCTTACTCTGTCTTCAAAGTTCAGCCTCAGTTACCTCCTCCAGGAAGTCTGTCTGGATTAGGTCCCTCCTTTGAGCTCTCACGGCCACCTGTGCTAGCTCTATCACATAATTGCCTCTCACTTTTCTGAGTCCCCTGGAAGGGTGCTCTGTAAGCACAAAGTCCCTCAAATGTGAGTGTGTGTGTTGTGACAAGGATGACAGGGAGGCCAGCATAAGGATGAAGATGAATAAGGGAGGAGTCTGGGGTCGGAAAGCAGAGAGCGGGGCAGAGGCTAGATAACGCTGGTCCCCACAGGCCAAGGGAGAGTTTGCATTTGTCCTAAATGTGACACGAAGACTAAGGAAGTCAGGGAGATTGATGAATGAATGAACAAGTGAATGAATGAACAAATGGTGTCCCACTGCCTCATATGGGGCTAGAATGAGAGCAGGAGCTCCACAGAAGTTTGTTGAGTGAATAAACAAGGAACACTTAAAAACTGGGAGATTTTTATATTTAAAAAAAAATCTCATTTGTCTTGAAGAACCTAAAGCACTAAAGACAACAGGCTGGCATTCCACTCAGGCAGTCGTCATGCAGAGGAACAAAGGCTGCCCTGTCACCATTGTCCCCACCCAGGGCCTTCCCTCATGTCTGTCACTGCTGAGCACCTGATAGACATTGGAGTCTGCAACCTTTCGATTGTCCACTCTAACCACCTGGAGAGGCAGCGTGGGGTGGGAGGGGTGCGGCTGGCGAGAAAGGAGAGGTGAGACCTCACGTTCCTTCCTGACCTGGAAGCAGTGTCACCAAATGGCTAGTAACGTGGGCTCACAGCCCAGCCCACCACTCACCACCACTCTGGGAAAATGACTTAACTTTGCTGTGCCTCAGTTTTCTCAGCTATAAAATGGGGCTAATGACAGGGCTTCAGAGGGTTGGTGTAGGAATTAGATAAGAGACCACGTACGGAGCACCCGGCGTGCACCTGGCACAGAGGTGCTGTGAATAGCGGAGTATGAAGGCGCCCATCTAGTCTCACCTGGGCTTAGGAGACAGGAGAGGAAGGGGACAAATGGGACAGGTATTAAAGGGATGGCACACGAGGAAAACACAACAGGCTGTGGCATGATCTAACGGCCGTGTATGCAAGGCTGCTGGGTGCCAGGCTGGGCTGAGTGCCCCTCATTTGTGACTGTATCAGTCCAGTAACAGTCACCAATTCTCAGGAGCACACTAGGTGCCAGGTGTGCAATGCCACTTTGCACATACCAGCTCTAATCCTCACAGCAACCCCAGGGGTGGGTGTTTTTATACCCAATGTACAGAGGGCAAGACCGAGGCTAAAAAAGGGAAGGTTGCTTGTCCAAGTTCACTTGGCTTATAAATGGGAGAGTTAGGCTTCCGACCAGATCCCTTGGGGTTGAAAGGGGACTCTAATAGAGGCATATTGGCCCTGAGATTTTCCCAAGCGATCCTATTTCCTTTCTTTCATAAGATAAACAAATTGTTGAGCAATGTCAGATGGGGCCTGAGGGGAACGTTCTCACCTTTCCAATGCGGATTTGCTGAGGAACGGTACTTGGAGGTCGTGCATCAGAGATAGTCCTGCCGGAGTGTCACCTCTGATTCAGGATGGGCGAGGAGAAAAGGAACATGGCTGTGCATTGGGGTGAGAAATGGAAGCCAGCCCATGGAAGGGGTGACATCGACAGAGGACCCCAGTGGAGGGCTTGCATGGCCTCTTGCATGGCCTTGGTGGTCCAGGCGTCTTAGAAGGGAAAACCCTCCCCACTTGGCAGCATGGGGACATTCCCCCAGCCACTACCTGGGGGCACTTTGTAACGGCCCCGCCGGGGAAAGGAGGGCTGGCAGGGAGGAAGTGCAGGTCTCCCCTAACAGGGAAGGACGTCTACACCCACCAGCCTCCGTGATCATAGAGCCAGTTCCTTGCAGCAAATCTCTTTCTGTGTGTAGACACAACCCGTTGGTTCCGTTTCTCTGGAGAATCCTAATACCACCGTATGCCCACTTGTTTACATCTATGTCCACAGCTGGTTTCACGCTACAAAAGCATAGTTAATTGTTGAAACAGGGACTCTATGGCCCAGAAAGCCAAAAATATTTACCATCTGGTCCTTACAAAAAACATTTTCTGACTCCTGCCTACAAAATAGCTTTTAAGCCGATTTTCTTGAATCCCCAAGTACGTGAACATATTATCAAATAACAAGCATCGCCTACACTTGCTGGTGTGTGTCTCTCTCTCCAGGAGGTCGGGTGGCTTAGCAGGGGGTGAGGCAGCTTGGCCCCTGGGTCTGGGGCTCTTTCTAGTGGCCTCTGCTGGTCGCTGGGCAAGGGCGGAGAGGGCTAGGAAAACCCACCTCCGGATTTCCCTTTTCCCTGGGAGGGAAGGACGTGGGCTCTGGGGTCAGACTGGACCCCATGCCACCTCTTTCGCAAGCCTCAGTCTTCTCATCTCTGAATGGGGTTTGTCACCTCCCTGCTGTGTCCCATAAGGATGACCTAAAACGATATCAGGAACCTGCGGCCTTCTGATTTCAAGATTGCTTTTTTTTAAGCACCAAAGGAGGCAAAAAAAAAGCTTCGTCTTTCTCTGCTGCACCCCTTTTAATAAAAGGATTTGGTCTGCAAAATTTGGATTCAGTCGAAAGGCTGCACTTAAGGGCCTAGAGGGCCACATGTGGCCTTAAGGCTGCAGGTTGCCTCCCCCCGGTTTCCAGGGACAGCACAAAGTAGACCCTCTTTTCACCCAGGGACCAGGGGTCCTTGGAAGGGAAGGGTCTTCTTGCCCTCTTATTAACTCCTCAGTGACATTTCTATATTGTAGTCAGCTGAGAGCTCAGAGGAGCCACAAGCATTTTTACTAAAAAAGCCAGCACGGAATAATAATGTCTTGATTTAACATCTCAATTATCTCTCCGAGCACTTTATCGCATATGATTATCTCTATTTGATAGGAGAGGAAATGGGAAGAGGTAGAAATGAAGTCACTTGTTTAAGGTCACATTATGAGTCAGGCGAGAAACGGAGCCAGAACTCAGTCCCCCACCCCCGGAGCCACGACTCCCGCTGAGGAGATGGCGTGTTTCGGTGACCCTCCCGGCAGCCAGCAAGAGCTGTGCCACCACTCTGCGCCAGGCCCTGTGTGCTCCAGGTGGCCCCAGGTACCCTGTGGGGCGGGGGCTATCATTACAGGCTCAGGCTCCAGGTGGGGAAGATGAGGACCACGTGACAGTGTCCCCCATGGTCACAAGGCACATGTGACTCAGCTGGAATTCTCTAAGTCTATAGCATCCCCCACTTAGGGCACAGCTACAGGAAGACAAGCTCTTTGCTATACATTTTATCTCAATTATTTCACTTTTGCCCTCAAGAGAATCCAGTAGGCTGGGCACTATTACTCCCATTTCCTGGATGGGGAAAACAGAGGCTCAGAGAGGCAGAAAGATGGAGCCAAGGCCAAGAAGCAAGGAAATAGCATAGCCAGGCTTAAAAGCCAGTCTGCTAACTCTACACCACAAACCACCCTGAGGTACAGGTATGCACTAAATGTCCTTCAAATGACCCCCCAACTCTCACATTCCTGAAGATGAAAGCATTTCAGGAGATTTTACCCCATTCAAAAATATAAGGTTAATCTTTGTGGGTCTTCTCCAACTTTGTGGGTGTCCAAAGGGAGACCCTGAAACTGGAGAAACAATTAGGCCTTAGAGTCATTAACAAGGGGTGCATGATCAATTCGGGGCGGGGCAGTGGGGCGGCTCAGGTTCTGAACAGGAGCAAACCCACCCCTCGGCACCGCAAAGACGCAAGCCCAGGCTGCCAGCGGAGGGCCCGCATTTGCTGCGCAGACTCCACAGTGAGCTGGCCCCGCAGAGACAGGCACGGTGGGACCATTCGCTGCGGTCTTAAGAGAACGTTTTTCAAGAGCAGGATCTGGATGCGCCCCCCACCCTTTTTGTTATTGGATGCAATTAAAGGGTGGGGAGAAAGGCAGGAGGGTGAACCAGGGATTTGCACAGGTGAAGAGACACAGAAAGAGAGAAGAGAAGAGAGAGAGATGGGACCAGGAGAGCGGCAGGGATGGGACCTGCACGCCCAGAGAAAGAGATCGGACGGCAAGAAAAGCAGAGAGGTGGAGGACCACATGGGACAAGAAAATAAAGATGAGACTTAGAGACAGGGAGAGGACAAAGGAGAACAGAGGGAGAGAGGAGGAGGAGGAGGAAGAGGAGGGGGAGGGGGGGCAAGAGGAGGGAATTGAACAACGCAAGGGAGAGACAGAGGCAGGAGTGGAGAAGATTTTGACGGAGTTTGACCTACCTGTGAATCACTGACACTGTCCCCTCCTCCTCCTCTCTGAATCTGCGACCAGTGGGCAGGGACCCAACCACATAATAACTGCTCAGTAAACCCTTGTCACGTCAAATTGAATTGTCCAGGACTAGGACAGGGTGCACATGGCATTTCAAGCCAGTGTGTTGACAGATGGCCGTTGGTGCCTATGTCTGCAGCTTGTGGCCAGCCACTCTGGCCGGTGGGGAGAACTGGGTGGACTCGGGGAGGAGCGTCCAGTGCCTCATGGATCGAGCACATTGCCCCCCCAGCGGGAGCATCAGCCTGGGTGCAGACGGGTTGAAATTGATGAGGTTGAGCCTCAAAGCACTAAGGGACCTCGCTCCATCTCGAGGGTCTGATCCTGGGCTTACCTGGGTGTCTGCAGCCGATGCCGACCGCCCGCCACTGTGGCCAGCTCTGTCTCAGGAAAATCGTTTTATCACTGTGTCAGACCCAATGAGATGAGCCAACATTTACGGGCTGAGATGAGCGAAAATGGCGAGAGAATCAGTTGGCTAACGGCACTTCTCAGACACGCACTGAAATCGAACCAGCAGCTATTGATCCCTCGTACGATGATGGAAGAGATCTAATAAATATGACAATTGCGCAAGCATGACCCAAGGAGGAGGCAGTGGGAGGGAGAGCTGGGGGGATCGATCAAGAAGAGACTTCGTGATCCTGCTGAGACAGATGCAGAAATAAAGCCTTTGTTGGGGTGGGGAGGGGAGAGCAGTGACAGCCCCACAAACGAAAATATTAGACATCAGATCATATTTCCTGGACACGGCACGCAGCATGATGGAGTGGGACGATCAAGGATATTATAATCGATGGAGGGGGAGGTCCAACCCTGCCAGTCTGGAACCGTGAAAACTTGAGCAGTCATGCTAGCATTTATTGAATGCCTACCAAATGCCAGGCGTAGTATAGTATCCCATTGGGATCTCACAGTAACCTTAGGGGGTGAATACTGTTATTATCTTCATTATACAGGTTAGGAAATTCAGACTCAGAGAGGGGCAGCCACTGTCCCAAAATCACACAGCAAATGCATGGTGGGATCTGAGATTCGAACCCAGCACTACCTTGGGTGTTGTGAGACACGCATTTCGATGAGATATGGAAAATTCCTGGCTCCCAGAAGCTACCTTAAGAAACCCTAACCCTATTCCATGTGTTTTAAGATGATTGCAAATTTTTCAAACAGCCCCGGAGCCGGCCCCTTTGCCGACTCCCTTAAAACGTGCTGGGTTCTGCCACATACCCTCAGGAACTACAGCGACATCCCCCTCTCAGCTGCCAGTGGAGACACAGGATTCGCCTGCCACCGATCACACCTCTCGCTCCGCCGGGGCAAAGCAGTGGGCTTGAGATCCCGGCAGTGAGCGCAAACCACCCCCGGGCAGCATAACTCACCGGCTCGGGCTGCTGCGACAGCTCCCCACGCAGATCTCAAAGCCTGGAGATAAATGACCTGCAAAAATAGAACAAAGGCAAGGTGCGGTGGGCTGGTGGGAGAAGGTGAGAGGGGAAGAGAAGGAAAGTACAGCAAAGGGAGGGTGCTGGGGGCAGAACTGACATTTGTGATGGGTCTTGACTTGAATGTCTGTCAAATGAGAAAGGCAAGCCTTGTCTATTTCCCCAACCCGTGGAAGCAAGATGATAATGAAGACTTTCAGTCTGTGGGAGGGGAACTGAAATCAGATCCAATAACCGAAAGAGCTCGTTTCCCCTGGGAAGCTTGGAGACTTAATTAAGGAATGTTTGTAAAGCTTGGAGAGATTCTTGATAAAAGATACCCAGGAAAAAGTAAGCAGTCGCAGAATTTACTATTCAGCCTTGTGGAGTTGACAGCAGGCTTTTTTTTTTTTCCTGAAGCTCCCCAGCCTTTTGCTAGAGTCAAACTTTGGGATGCAATAATAATGCTTTCTTTGAATGTGGGCATTTTTACCAGGGAGCAAATGGCTTTCCCGTCTGAGCTTCCTCCCCGCCTAACTTAGACCCCACTGGCTGGCTGTGATTAACAAGAGAGCAACAAGTCCTTTCAAAGTGAAACTGGCAAGAAAACACGGGCTCAGCCTGGTCCTCTGGTTTGCTGTCATTCTCTTTTCCCTTTCCCTCCCGATAAAACAACCCCAAACTTCACTCAGTGGAAAATTACATCAAAGCAAGGCGCTCAAAACAGCACCCTGTCAGCAATTAAACATGATCCAAAAAGAATGAAAAGGCTGAACTTGGTTGTACATCGAAGTACATGTTACATGGTAAATGCCAGAGCCCTGAATCTCATTAACGTCCCCAAGCCCTTGTTCTCCAAGTCCGGTGAGAATCGCTGACCTTTAAAATCACCCTGATTAGCTAAACCTCTCACTTCTTCCACCCAGGATGTCCCATTCTCCTAGGACCCTGGAAATGGCACGGCAACTGCTGTGTGGCAGACTGCAAGAGGCAGGAGACCCTGGAGCTAAAACCCAAGAGTGGTCCTCTTGGGAGAGAGCCGCCCACCTGTTTAAGCAGGACTGTACGGAGGGGGAGGTCTCCCTGTCTGGCTTTTTAAACTAGCCTCGTAACTGTAACTACCTTCGCCAGATAATCAGACCCCAACCTAAACCCCCCAGCCTGAGCTCCCACCATCTCTGGGTCCAGAGGACCAGAAATAGACAAATAGAAGCGAGAGAAAGCATCCCAGTGCCCTCTTTGGATGTTACCTGCGCTCTGCTGTGTCCCTGGGCAGCTTCTGGCCAAGCAGGTCGGAGGCGGCAGGTGGCTGGTCCGATTCAGGGACCTCCCTGACTCCGGCTCAGGAGGAGGTGCCAAAGAGGCAGCTGTGAGCACCACCAAGCCCCTCAGAATAGCAGTTCTGTGCCTCGTGCCCCCTTTTATGGGCTAGAGCCTCCCCTGCCGCCCAGCCCTTGCTGAGCACAGGCTGCTCGGAGCCAATGGGGAAGTAGCTGAGAGCAGTCAGAGCTCAGACCCCCAGGCCCTTCAACTTGAACTCCCTGGGCAGACACAATAGGCTTCTCTCCCCCACGGGGATGTGGAGGAAGGAGGCAGCGGGTTGGGGAGGGGGCGGGTGCTGCGTGTAGTGCTGTTTGTCACCTGAAATCCGGCCACTTCAGTTTTTGAAGCGTTTCCAGGACTGTCACAGGAAAAAGGAGACAGAGGTAGGGAAGGGCAGAGACAGAAAGAGTTAGAGAAGGACAGAGAGTCAGAGAGAGAGAGTCAGACAGACAGATAGAAACGGACAGACAGACAGAGGCAGAGGAGGAGAAAGCAAAACAGGGAGAATGGGAAACAGGGAAGAGGCAATGTCAGAGAGACAGGGGTGGAACAAAGCCGGGCAGAGACAGAAAAACACACAGCTACAGAGTGTCAGAGATGGGGACACACGGAGACAGGTAGAAACAGAGAGACAGAAGGAGAGTCAGAGGAAGAGAGAGAAGGGAACGGACAAGGCAGACAGACCCAAACCCATGCTGATTGAGAGACAAACAGACGCTGAGACAGGGGCTGGGAGAGTCCCCCGACAGTGGAAGGGAAGGAGGGCGGCAGGTGCGTGCGGGCCCTGGGCCGTGTGCCCGGGACACTCCGCGCCAGCGGGTGCACGCGTGTGCGGGAATGTTTTTGTGTGTGCATTCGCCTGCAAACGGCAGTCGGCTCTGTGCACGCCGGGGCTGGCGCCAGGCACTCCAGCCCTGGCAGAAGCACAGCCCTTCCCCGACAGCCAGGAGCTGCAGTTTAGTTTTCTCTGGCGGCAACACAAAATGAATATCATGAAATCCCCCTCAAAATATGCGCCGCGATGTGCCTTTGCACACACTCTGGGTGGGGGCTGCGCACCCGCCCCGTGTGCACCCTCGGCCTGTGCCAGCGGCAGCTTGCAGGCTGCACTCTTCGCGGCTACAGATACCTTCCAGAACACGGCGGGGGGCTCCGAGTTTGGAAGGGAACGTGCTTCCTTCCCAGGCAGCAGCAGACTGGCAGGCAGGGTGGGAGGCGCGGTTGTTTGGGAAGGCTGGCAGGGCCGCCCGCACTGCGGGCACTGAGGCTGCACCAGGCAGTCGGCAGAGTTGTGACCTGGCCAGTGAGTTCATATCATCCCCATTTTGCAGATGAAGAAACAAAGGCTCGGAAGCTGAGAAACTTGCCTAACGACACACAGCAAGTCACTCATCAAGCTACAATCCAAAGCCAGGTACATCTAGCTCCCACATCCCTGCTCAGTCCCTCACTCCTCCCAAGGCATGAAGACTTGAATCTGCCCACACTGAGGGGTGGGGTCATGAGCCTCCTTCTCTGGGACTCGGTCTCTCCACCTGCACAAGGTGCAAGAGGGCTACACCTAATGACATTGAAGATGTGTGGATTCCCAGCTCACCAGCTGGGAATGCTGTGCTGCCACTCACCAGCAGAGAGATCTCAGACAGGTTACAAACTCCAGCCTCGGTTTGCTCATCTGTAAAATGGGGACAAGAGTATCCAGCTCACTGGGCTCTGGCGAGGGTGAAAGGAGGGTGTGGGTGTTAGCACTTGACACAGCTAGGCACTCAGCGAGCGCCCCGTTACCACCTGTGATGATTCATCACATTGTCCCAGCTCTGACACACCAAGGGTGCCGGGATACTGTCCCCTCCTTGCATCTGGCTCGTTCTGCTCTCTCACGTGAGGAGGACAGTAGAAGGGGCCACTTGCTAAGCGCCCACTCTGCCTTAGGCATTCCACACGACAGGCAGACCCATGGCGTGGACATCACGACATGTCTTCAAACGGATAAGGCAGCAAAGATCAGGGAGCCGCAGCCACTGGGGAAGGAGGAGTGGAACCCCAGCCCCTCAGGCCCCCAAACCACAGCCCCCACGCTCCCCGCAGGATCCTGGCCTTACTGTCCTCCCCTCCCCGTTTCCATTTCCTGAGCCGGCACGTTGGGTCCCCAGGCAGATGGGCGCCCTATGTGGAGGTCCCTGCCTGGTGTCTGATGGCCCCTGCCCGGGTCCAGTGAGTGCCTGGCCACATCTCAGGCTGGCTTCCTGCCTGGCGACCCCAAGGACTTGGGAAGAGTCCATTCATTGCCACCCTGGAAACCTGGGAACCCAGAGTTTCCTCTTCACCCCCCGCCAAACCCTGTCCCCAGCAGTGCTGTCCCCTGACTGTTCACCGCCTCCTCCTCCCAGTGACCCCCTCCTCCGTCTGCTCTGAGTGACAACCTTGGAACAGATACAGGCTCTAAGAGATGAGGTACAATGGCCCCTGTGGCTGGAAGCGAGAAGACACTGGAAGAACAGAGGAGTAAGGGCCTCTCTTGACTATTATTCATCATAAAGGAAGACGGGACTATGCGTGCTGGTAGGGACACTCCTGGCTAATCCTGCTCTAAGCCATTCGTGTTTAATATCCTTCACCGCCTGAGTCTACCGTCAGCCCCGAGAGCAAATAGCCCCTGCGTCTGCTTTGCCTCTCCTGCAATGTCCTTCGCACGCACGTGCACACACACACACACACACACACACGCACGCACGCACACACGCTCGCATGCAGAAGGCCAGGAATACCCTTCCCCCTTAGTCCTAGAGAACCTCGGCATAAAGCCCACCCCTTCCTGGGCTCAGCGACACTCGGGTCACAGTGCAGTCCCCCAGGGCGGCAGCAATGGGGTGGTGGGAAACCACGGGCTCAGCCAGCTCCCGGGCTCACTCACTGTGTGACAACTGATGGATACCTCGCCTCGCTGAGCGCCTGAGTCATCTCCTGAATACAGGAGGATGATGCCGGCTTTATACAGTCATCGGGGCTAATTCCAAAGCTCTATCCTGCCCCCTTCCCTGCACATCCTTAGTGCATCATGAGTCCAAGGCAATGAATCAAGAACAAGATATACTCGAAACAACCAACCCTCAAATCATTTGTTGGACCCAGGAAGCTCATGACGGAAGATGGAAAATTGAAAAAAACAAAGCCGGCAGTTCTTAAGGCCTTCCTACTGCCAGGCCCATTGCAAACTCTTTATGCTTATTAACAAACCTCATTCTCCCACCGCCCTGCAATTAGAGGCGAGTCCTCTCCCCACCTTACAGGTGAGGAAACAGAGGCTGGGAGAAGTTAAGTGACTTGCACGAAGCCAGGCAGCTAGAAAGTGGCAGGACACAGCTGGGACCCAGGCGACCTGACTCCAGGCCTGTGCCCCAGCCGTGTGCTGTGCTGCTCCTGCACGTCTCCTTCCTGCTTCCGCCTCCTGCTCGAAGCGCCGTGTGTTCTCTGGTCACCTGTAGTGGCAGGTGACGCGGATCACTCAGACCTCAGTGGCATTTAGCTCCTGTCCTCCAGTCAGCTTCAAGTCTCACTGTTCACGCTGCCATGTGTCCAGCGTGAGTGTCGGGGAGGCCACACAGGGAGGCCACACAGGGCTGGTGGGGCAGTAGGTGCTGGGCTCCCACTGCCCCGTCTGTGTTTGCATTCAGCTGCTGCGGGAGGGAGTCAGCAGCTGAGTCTCTCTCTCTCTCTCTCTCTCTCTCTCGTCCTTTCACATTGAAATGTCCCAGTGTACCAGTCTCTGTGCCTAGCCCTGGGGTGAAACATGCCCCGCGCAACTTTGCTCCCGGTCCAGGTCGGATGGCAGAGGTAGGAACGGCCACTCCCAGCAGTAGGGCAAGCGCTGGGCCAGGAGGAGACCTGGAATACTGCGGGGACACAGAAGAGGGGCTCCCGGCCCAGCCTGGTCAGGCCTGAGGGAAGGCTTCCCGGAGGAGGTGAGAGGGAAGCTAAGGACCAATGCACAAGTCGGAGTTTTCCAGGCAAGGAGAAGGACAGGGCCGCCCAGGCAGGGAACAGCTGGGCGAAGGCCCAGAGCAAGAGCAGCTAGGTGGGTGACACCCGGGTCACTTCTCCGCCCTGACACCCGGGTCCCAGCACGTCTTCACTGTGCATGGCTCCGTCGCCCAGGCCAGCCGCTCCTCTCCTGGGTGACCGCCCCGCCCCTCTGGCTGCCCCTCCACCCTTGCCCCCAACCTTACCCCTAAGGTGCCAGAGAGATTCTTTCAAGAAGGTGACTCAGATCGTACCGCACCCCTGCTTAAAACACCCCAGTGGGTGTTCATCCCACTTGGAATGAGATCCGCACGCCTCTCCTGCGGGACCGCTCTCTGCCAGGCTGCTGCCCTTCCCGCTGCATAGCTGCCCCGGCCTCCCTGCCGCTCCTCAGGCCCCTCAGCACGGCCCTGCCTCAGGGACTCTGCGCTTGCTGCCGTCTCTCAGGGACACCCTGCTAATCTCCCCATCACAGCATTCAGGTTTGGACCTAAGTGACCCATCCCCAAACAGGTCTCTCCTACACGCCCTGTGGGCCACCACTCTCCATCCTCGCCCTGCTCTGCTGACTTCCAGCTCGTCCCCAGCTGATTTGGCACATTCATCAGTGCATCTGATCACTGTCCATTTCCCCTGGTGGGATATGAACTCTATGTCGGCCGGCATATTGTCCTCCTGGCACTTAGCAGGTGCTCAGTAAACATGTGTTGAGTTAGTGACTAAAAGAACGACAAGCGGTTAAGTGTGGCTGGGGCACAGAGTGAAAGATGGGGAGTCGGGAGAGACAATGCTGAAGGACACGCGGGACCCCGAAGGCCCTGTGAAGGCACAGCACTTTGTCTCAAGAGCGCTTGGCGGCTGGAAAGGGTTGAAAATGGTTTTCCACATTGACAAGGAACCCGGAGATCTGAAGACGCAAGGTACTCCATCATTTCCACCTGGTTCACGAGCATTTCTTGACGCTGGTGATTCAGATTCAAATCCAACATGACTCCTGCCCTCCATAGCTCACAGTCCAGCGGGGCACACATGTCAGCATATAAAATTATAGAGTAGGTGCAAAAGCAAAGCAACGCAAGATCAGAGGCAGCAGCGGCAGCCCCTGTCCGGGGATGTTAGGAATGCCCAGGAAAGGCTCCCCGAATAGATAACCCCTGAGGCGATGCCATTACACCATCGGCCTTCAAAGAGGGGCTTGCCAAACAAAGAAGGGTCTCTAATGCGCCTCAAAGAGCCAATGCCAACGATGTGGAGAAATTAGAAACTTCGTGCAACGTGGCTGGACCATAAAATGGTGCGGTGCTATGGAAAAAAAATGTTGGCAGTTCTTCAAAATGTTAAATAAAATTACCATGTGACTCAGCAATTTCACTCCTAGGTATATACCCAAAAGAATTGAAAATAGGGACTTTAACAGATATGTG